TTAATCTGATAGTTAATATTTAACACATCAAATTTAATAGGAAAATAACTCCCTAATGGTGCATTTGGGGTAGCTTTTTTAAACTATTTCTAGGACTTATAATTTCTCATAAGTATTTTTTTTAAAAAAGTAGTGTTTGGAATTGCACCACCACCATTACACCCACCGCCCCACCACCACCATATCACCGTTGTCGCCACCCCACCATCACCCCTATTGCCCCACCACCGCTATCGCCACCCCACCACCACCACCACTGCCACCCCATCACAACCTCTACCACAACAACAATCACCACCACCCCCCACTACCGCCACCACCATCCCACTACCATAACCCCTCATCATCATCACCACTGTTGCCACCTTACCACTAGGGGTGTTCATCCTACCCTACAGATAAGAAATTTGTTATTCCGTCTTTCTACCCAATACTTTGCGAAAGATTTTTTTGTTGGTCTACCCTACCCGATCAGGTGTGGTATTCTTACCCAACTTCTTACTCGATTAATCGGGTAGGAAGTCAGGTAAATACTTTTGTAACTGTTAATTTTTGGATCATTTTAATAATTTAATTAAATAACATGGGTTTAACAATCAGAGAGAACAATTCTGCCATAACACAAATTGGTCCAACAAAAAGGGTTGTATTAGAATTTCAAATTGAGTTTAATCTTTATATCTTCTAAAATATTTGTAGATCTACTAAGCCTACAGATTTCAGTCGCAATCAAAAATAGAACATCACAAAACCAGCTTTTCTATACCAGTGAAACTCAAATCCCAATGTCTCTAACACTCGAGCTTTGAAGCTCAAGCCCCAATTGGCATTGGAAAAGCAGACCAAAGGCTCTCAAGAAAATAAGCTTTTAAACAATAAACAAACAAAACTCACATCTAAAATAAATACTCTCAGCAACTTTAAGTAAACATACGTCAAGCACCAAAAAAGTGAAAAATGACAACAGAGAATCAGACTACACCAGATCTCTCAAAGAGAGAGAGAGAGAGAATACCTGGGAATCGACTGAATGATGAAGGAAGAGGAGGAGGAATGACGTGAGGTGTTACTGTGTGAGGCGCTCGAACAAAACTCAGTAGACAATATATATATATATATATACTAGTTATTGCCTCTGCTTAAAGCACAGAGTAATAAAAAATGGTAAACTATAAACATATTTTTATTCATATCCAAAATTAAATTACAAACATAGAGAAGAGATAAATGAATTTAAGCATCGATTTATAGTGGGGGTAAGAGGAGGTGGGCGACAATAGTGGTGGTAGGAAACAGTGATGGTTGTGGTGGGTGGCAATGATCGTAGTGGTAGTGGTGGCGGCGAGGGTGGCAGCGATAGTGGTGGTGGTGATGATGATGATAGTGGTGGTGGTGGTAGCGGTGGTGGTGGCGGTGGCGGTGGCGGTGACAGTGGCGGCAGCAACAATGACAACGGCGGTGATGGTAGCGGTAGTGGTGGGAGTGGTGGCAGTGGCGGTGATGGTGCTGGTGGTGGCAGTGATGATGGTGGTGGTGGTGACGGCGGTAACGACGACAACAGTAATGGTGGCAGTTGTGGTGGTGGTGGTGACGGGGCTAATGGTAGTGATGACGACGGCGACGGCGACAACGGTGGTGGCTACGGTGGTGATGGTGATGGTGGCGGGGGCAGTGATGGTGACGGCGGTGATAGTGATAGGCGTGGCGGTGGTTGGGGTGAGGGTGGTGGCGATGGTGGTGATGACGACGAAGGTGGTGGTGACGGTGGTGACAGCGGCGGTGGTTGTGGTGACGGCGACGGTAGTGGTGGTGGCGGTGATAACGGTGGTGGCAGTAGTTGTGGCGGTGGGGGTGGTGGCAGTGGCTGTAGCAGTGGTGGTGGTGGGGGTGGTTGTGGCGGCGACGACGATGGTGGCGATGATGGTGGTAGAGGTAGTGGTGTGGCGGTTTCAAACGATATTTTTTTTTTAAGTATTTATGAGAAATAATTTTTAAAAGTATTTTTAAAAAGTCTCTCCATACATATCCTTATGGGCCTATTTTTCCTATTAAATTTAGGATATTAATATTAGTCATTAGATTAATTTTAAAGTAAAATTTAAAGCAATTTCAACCACGAATATATATATAAATTAATTAATTATTGCGGGTCAGATAAGGTAGGAATGCAAAAATTGATGGTTATTCCGCATTCTTACCCGATTTAATCTGAAGACCAAAAACTCTTTCTCATTTCTATCCGATTCTTGTGGTTACCCGTTCAGTAAAGTAGAGTAGGATCGAATAGAATAAGAAATTGCAACTAATCGAAAATTTAAACACCCCTACTTATCACAACCGCCATTGTCCCACCATTATCCATACCGCCACCACCCTCATTGCCCCACTACCACCATTACTATCTACCACTATTACCACCACTCGCTCCCACTACAATCGGTGCTTAAATTTTTTTTCTCTCTGTTATCTTTGTAATTTGATTTTGAGTGTGAATGCAAATATATTTATTATTGACCATTTTTTTTTATTATTTTTTGTCTTTAGGCACAGGAAATAATTAGTATGTACATATATCAAATTTATCAATTACATAAATACATTAATTATATATATAGATATAATGGTAAAATATGTGTTTATATTTTTTTAATAAAATATATAAAAATATAAAAAAACTTATTCCATATTATCAAATACAAAAAAATTAATTCTTTCTACTTTTCATCTATCTTACCAAACATAGAGGAAAAAAAAATACCTACCTTAAAGTATAAATCTTATATCACTCTCACTTTTCATTCGCTCTACAAAACACGATATATGCGAGAGCAAAATTCTCTCACCAGGCTAAGCAATCCGGGTGGGTAATACGATGTAGGAGCCACAACAATGTTGGGAACTTAAGCCTATGTTGGCCGGGACTAAAAATGGATTGATTAAAAGTGAGGATGAAAAATGGGAAGAAAAATGATTTTTTTTTTTTTTTATTGTTTGGGTCGAGAAGAAAATGGAATGAAAAGGAAAATTGGGTAGAAAATCTCACCATTTTTGGCATGAGAAGTTGACTGCTATATTGTAATAATTATCTTACTTACCCAAAAAACAAAAATGAAATATATATATATATATATATATATATATATATATATATATATATATATATATATTGTAATAATTTTAATTTATATTTATACCCTTCTTACTTGCATGTCTTTTATTATCTTGTCTTTAAAATACTATTTAGCACGAGGAATTTAATTTTAAAATATTTCTTTATCTAACAGGTGGTTAATATGTGTGATCTATTAATTATTACATTTGTTAATTTTTTGTAAATAAAATTATAAATTATATAATTTTTTTTACATCGTACTCAAATAAAAATGATAAATTAAATTTATATACCAGATCAAACTAATAAATTTAATTTATATGTTGGTTCTTTTCCTCTGTTTTTGTCCATAAATCAAACAATAAAACATTTATCTGTCTAACTCTTCACCTATCATATCCAAAAAAATGAATTTACGATAAAGGACATCTTTATGCTCCTATTTAATGTTATTGGCTTACAAATAGAAACCAAAGGAAAATAAAATAGAGAATTGAGACGAGGGGAAATATTATGGTATTGTCAATAGTATTATATCAAAAATTATAATTTTTTAATATTAAATTATAATTTTTAAAGTTATTAGTAATAATAAAAAGTTAAAATCGATACGAGTAGTTCATAATTTACTTGTGAGTTATAATTTTATAATGGGTTAATCTTATTTTGTATTTCGAAAGATTGTTCGAATTTCAATTTGTATCCTCAAAAATTAAAAATTTTAATTTACACCCTCAAAGATAGAAATTTGTATAAATATGCACCCCCAAAGATCAAAAATCTCAATTTACACCCTCAAATATAGAAATTTATATCAATGTGCACCCTAAAGATAAAAAATCTCAATTTACACCCTCAAAGATAGAAATTTGTATCAATGTGCACCTAAAACTAAATTGATAAATTATACCTAGATCCCCTCATACTTGTCACTTAATCATTTAGACATCTTCACATTTAGAATATTACTCCTACATCTTATGACATTTGTGCACGTATAACACGTAACCCATTTTCATTAATATCTATTAATATAATCGTTAAAAAATATAATTTTATCCTAATAAAAAATTATAATTTCATATTACCATTTATTTTATGGGTTCAATATATTCTAAAATTCAAAATCTAGTTTACCATTTGAATGTCTAATAAAATATAAATATTTATATAAAATTTTTCATATTACCTTTGATATAAATATCTACATTTTATTAGACATTCAAATGATAAGCTTGATTTGCAACTTTAGAGTATATCGAATCCACAAAATAAAAGGTAATATGAAATTATAATTTTTTATTAGGATAAAATCATATTTTTTAACGATTATATTAACAGATATCAATGAAAAGTGGTTATGTGTTACACATGCACAAACGTCGTGAGATATAAGAGGAATATTCTAAATGTGAAGGAGTTCAAATGATTAAGTGACAAACATGAGTGAATCTAACTATAATTTATCAATTTAATTTTAGGTGCACATTGATACAAATTTCTATCTTTGAGAGTGCAAATTGAGATTTTTTATCTTTGGGAATGCACATTGATAAAAATTTCTATCTTTGAGGGTATAAATTAAAATTTTTTATCTTTGAGGGTACAAATTGAGATTTGAACAATCTTTTAAGGTACAAAATGAAATTAACCCTTTTATAATAAAAAATGATAATCGACGGTGTGATTTCTGTACCGTAGACTTTCTTAGAAGTGGCTGTTTTATGTGCCGACACGAGACCTAATCCTGTTCTATTCCCTAAATCAACGGACAATTGTCACTTCCGTCACGTCCTGTCCCCCATCAAACAGGGTGGGTTCTCACCTCACAAAAACTCAAACAGGGTGTCTTGTCCTCTACCACAAAATCAGCGCTTATCTGTGTCCCCAACTTAATCTGATGGTGCATACCACTTGTAGAACACGAACGCCTTCGCATCACTGAATCAACTCCTCACAATAACGACGAAGCGCACTTCTGTTCACTGCGTATCCTAGCATCACCCATAACAACTCTTTTTGTATCCTCCACACGACCACCACTCCTCTGTTCAACTTTAAATACCGGGGTTTAGGGTTTTGTTGGTTTTGTCTCTCTGCTCTCGTGTTGTCTGTTTGTGTTCGTGGTGAAGAAAGGAGAGGCAGGAGTGGAGAGAGAGAGAGAGAGAGAGAGAATGGTGAACCTAAGGTGCTACTTCGACATAAGCATTGGAGGAGAGCTGGAAGGGAGGATCGTTATAGAGCTTTACAAAGATGTTGTCCCAATAACCGCCGAAAACTTCAGGGCTCTCTGTACCGGAGAGAAGGGCATTGGTCCCAACACCGGTGTTCCCCTCCATTTTAAGGTCCTCCCCCCCTCCCCTCTCTCTCTCTCTATATATATATATATATCTACTTGTTTATGCATAACTTTTACATTCGTATGTGTTTGTGCTAATGTATGTGTTTGTTGATGTTTATCTTTGCTACTTTGTATTCCAATGTATATACATGTCCTAGGTTGATGCCGAAACGTAAAAATGATACGTTTGAATAGGATCTCATGCTTGATTTGTCGGTAATAACTTTTAGATACAAAAAAGTAACAACTATTAGGTTAGGTGTATAGTCTATTTATGATTTATGAAGCAAATCCATGGCTCAGAACTTCGAGTTTTTAAAAATTTACAGTTTCTTGATTTTTTGATGGGTTTTATAAATTTTAAGGATTAAAGAAAACTATGAGCATCATGATTTCCAGTTTTATTTTGCAAGCTTCCTATATGATGTCTCAGATGATTCTGCCTCTCACCATGTTTTTCTAAATGCGGAAAAATATTCGCTTTCCAAATGACATAGTTAGCATTCGTGCGATTTATTGGTTAAAACTCCACATATGTAGTTGAATTTGTTTTTTGTATTTTGTTATATGTCTTCACTGGTGTTCTTTTTTTGTTTTGTTTTTTTCCCCTTTTGTATTTGAGCTTTTTCAGGAATATTTACATTTAATTTGACATAGTTAGGCAGCAGTCACTGTAAGTTTGACTAATGTTACAACTTTTAACCATGTAATTAACTGGTTACTTGATTACTCAGAAAGATTGCACTCCAGAGCGTTCTTGGTGATTAAAATTGGCTTGCGATTGGAGCCATATTTGAGTCTCTCATGGATAACTTGCTGCTGATTTTTTCAATATGGATAAATTGATACTTGGCAGATTCATCTTGTTTTATATGCCATGGAACCCATGTTGTGATTAGGATCTTGAATATAATAACATTGGACATAAGTGAAGTAGGTCTCTTCATAGGCTAATGCATATCAAAAAGTGGTGAATATTTCTAGAAAAGCGACTATTATCTCCGTAAGTTCATGAGTTGTGATCTTACAAAATCTTATGTTATCACTACCATCAGCAGTCTATTGTTTTGTACAGTTGAGTACAGGTCAATTTCATCTATACTGGAACCCGTCAATTTCTTTTTCATGATATAGCCAACTCATCATATCAATGTGACATGAAATCTATTTGCGGAAAGTGACATGAAATCTATTTAACCAAAAAAGAGAGATAAATTCTACAATTGTGCAGAAAGAATGTGGAATGTGAATTGTATTTATGAGGGTTCCTTAGGGCATTCATATTGTCATCATGGTCGTGAAGACCTGTCTTGGGATCTTCTTTCTCTTTTTTGCTAATCATAGATGAGTACTAATTGCAGGGCTCCTGTTTTCATCGCATTATCAAAGGCTTTATGATACAAGGTGGTGATGTATCTGCTAGGAATGGCACTGGTGGAGAATCTATTTATGGCTTGAAATTTGAAGATGAAAATTTTGAGTTGAAACATGAAAGAAAGGGAATGTTATCGATGGCTAATTCTGGTCCAAATACCAATGGTTCTCAGTTTTTTATCACCACAACCCGAACTCCGCATCTGGATGGAAAGCATGTTGTATTTGGCAAGGTAATTAAAGGAATGGGGGTGGTTCGTTCAATAGAGCATGTTCCTACAGGAGACAATGATTTGCCCACTCTTGATATTATAATAGAGGATTGTGGAGAAATTCCTGAGGGTGCAGATGATGGGATATCTAACTTCTTCAATGATGGTGACACTTTTCCTGATTGGCCAGCTGACCTTAACGTGAAACCGGATGAAATTTCTTGGTGGATGAATGCTGTGGACTCTATCAAAGCTTTTGGAAATGAACAATACAAGGTAGTTGTTGTATATATGTTTGGTTCTGTCTGTCTCATGGTTCCAATTCATGTTATGATCATCTAAAGTCCAGCATTTTCTTTGATGCATATCGTTTTTCTGATAAGAAATTGAAAAATCCAGAGAATTATTCTATATCGCCTTTTCAAGTAAATTTATTTTATCCAATAGATGATGATTGTCCTAGTCTTTTAGGTTTTACAGGAAATTAGACTTTGGCTGTTCCTTTGCTTTCAATGGTTTTTTGTTTGATTACTGGATTCCTTGCTGGTTTCACATGCAGAAGCAAGAGTATAGAATGGCCCTCAGAAAATATCGAAAGGCTCTGCTCTACTTGGATATATGCTGGGAGAACGAAGACATTGATGAAGGTCCACCATTTTATATGCCCATGAATCACCATTAGTAGAACTAGTGTTGGCAAATGTCCTACAGCAATCCCTCTAATGTCATTATCCATGCCCTTGTGCAGAGAAAAGTCAATCTTTGAGGAAGACAAAGTCTCAGATATTTACAAATAGTTCTGTAAGTTTTCTTAATTGTTATCTTTGAGAAGTCAAAAGTTGGTGGCATATTAGTTTTTGGAATTCTTGATTATGTTTTTAATTGTGTTTGCTTTTAACCCATGGTTTGGTAGTATGTTAATGGCTTATCGAGTAGTTGATCTATAGATTGAGAATTGTAGGATAACATAGGAAAAGGGTGATGATTAGAGTGCAATCTACTAATATGCTTAATTGTCTAAACATTCCTCGAGTACATGTACATATTTAAACATTTTCTCTATTTTGATTTTTCTCCCCTTACGTTCACTCCGAGTTTTTGTGTCTTTAAGGAGATCTAGGATTAGCATATTTCTGGAACAACACCATAAGTCAAAATGCTTTCACAAATTCTAGGCTGGCACGTCTTCAAAGCTTCAGTTGCTTCGTAATGGACATGTCCGCTGTTTTTTGTCAGGCATCTTTCCTCGTCATCTGACATGTTCAGAAAAAAGCTCTCTTTTCTGTCAACTGATGTGTGACATGACTCTTTAGGCCTGCAAACTGAAGTTGGGGGATTTAAAAGGAGCATTGCTGGACTCAGACTTCGCTATTCGTGATCTAGAAGATAATGCAAAAGCTTTCTTTCGTCAAGGCCAGGTTGGTTCTTATATAGGAGCAATTGTGTACTTTTCATCTAGTGGACTGCTGTATTGTGTAGATTATCTAATTTAGTGCCTGATTTGAATGGTGAGTTTTACTTTCTTAATGGTTTTTCAAAGTACATTTCAATCATACTTGTTAAAAGAGGTTCATCACACTTCTGCCATGGCTATCTCACTTACAGTAACCTCCTCGACAATGTTAATACTTGATACATCGTGTATTGTTCCAAGAAAAAACATTGTAAGATTCAAAGTACGGCCAAAATTAGTATGAGGATTTGGCTCATAACTTTGCTATTATTATCTAGTTGATTAACCTGCAGTATGTGATGGTGTTATGAAGGAGGTTGGGGATTCTCATGTTTATGAAAACAGCACTACCTTTCTCAATATGTGTAGTAAATTTCTAAGTTATATCTCCTGAAAGTTGTAGGGATTCACTTCTATGCCGTTCTTGGTCATTGTTTTTTAATTTCTTTTCTTTCATTTTCAGACCAAGTTCTTTATCTTAATCTTGTGAACTCGTTCAATTTTTTGTTAATTTTGATCAGAGCATTGAAATGACATTCGTACTGCACTGCTTTGTAGCAAGTGTCGATCTTGCACTGCTGTGTAGTAAGTGTCAGGTTAAACACTCGATTAGTACCATTATATGAAGATATTTAGCTTTTCTTTCATTCTACTTTCCCACGTTGAATCTCACCCAGGTTTCAGTATCCAACATTAAATTATTGATGGGTTACTCAACCATTGTGGCACCAACCCTGAGACCAAATCTGAGAAATGCAGAGATTTCACTCATCCAACTCAAACTTTCTCTTATTTTTGGTGGTAATCGAGAGATAAACCCAAAATATCCCCACCATATGCCGAGCTTCATTATTACTGTAGTACCATGCCTTAGTTTCATTATTCTTTTTCTACCTTATCCTGAGCTTTAATATTATGATCAATTTGTACAATGACTCCCCAAAAGCTTATCTGGCGTGGTGAATTTAGTTTGATAGTATAACTTTTCTATAATAACTCCACTTCCACCTCGTACTTACAAGAGATGTCCTGTTTACACAGTATCTGTTTCGTTTTGATGTGAACAACCCAACTTCTTAAACTTTATTGTGAAGCTTTTGTGATGTATGGTAATTGATTTCCTGTTAATTCTTCAGGCATATATGGCACTTAATGATATAGATGCTTCAGTTGAAAGTTTCAAGAAAGCATTAGTATTGGAACCAAATGATGGTAGGCTCCATATATTTTTGATATTTCTGTCATAACTGCAAGATATAACAAGAGAAAAAGTGTGGTTTAAGGGAACTAATGGAAGGCCGTATTGGCATTCCTCCTTTTTGAAAATCTCTTTTTGTTTTTACCATTAAGTTCTGACTGCTGACGGTGTTGTTTTATGCTTTTTGTCATTCAGGTGGCATAAAGAAAGAGCTCGCTGCAGCAAAGAAGAAGGCTAGTGACTTTTCTTTATATGATTCTTTGATTGCACATGTAGACTTTTTTTCCAAACTCTCTGTGTATGTGATTAATAGTTACAATCATCTGCAGATTGCTGATAGACGTGATCAGGAGAAAAAGGCTTACTCAAGAATGTTCCAGTAAAGTTGATGCTGTCAAATGGTCTGTCCCTACTTAACGATGAGCGTTTCTTTATATTCAGAACAAATTGGTACTAACTTTTTGGTAGTAATTTTTGAATGCAGGCTTTGCTAGACGAGTTTATCACTTTATAAACTTCATGACCACATACTAGCTTATATACAGAGATTGGTTCAGGCTTCCTAGTTCGCTGCTTTTGATAGATTAGGAATCATCAGGTGATGAGCTCGATTAACTTTCCTTCATAAATCAGGTTTACTCGATTCAATTTCTCATTTAGCTCAACACTATCAGCTATGGAGGTCTTTGCTTGCGTTTTAATGATTGGTGTCTTTCTGTGCTTCAAGCTCAAGTAATCTCTGTTTTGATTTTCTACAGGTTTTGATGCAGAGCAGAAGAAATTTTCCAAGACAACAATTTTAGTAGGTCAAAGTTTGAACCAAATTTTGTTCTGAACATTTTTTGTTTGCTGTGAAGCGAGGTTGTAGCTTGACATCATTGGTAGTGTTGACGAACACATCCAATATCATCCAAACTTGTTATATCTTTCTTACAAAAGGAAGTTCTTATTTGAACAAAAATGGATGGTTTTTTTTTCTTGATTAATATTTCATTTTTAGGCTTTTGGTCATCTCAATTGTTAGATAATCTGGCTTATGCTTTAGGTCAGGGAAGCAATCTCTGTCCAGTGTTGACTTGTGCTCAGTTTCTGGTCCTTGAACCTTGTTCTGCATCTCTTCCACCAGTTCCACCACCATTTATGAGTTCTCGCATTTTCTTTTTCCTTGATTGGTTGCTGGGGTGTACTTCTTTCAGTTTTCTTACAGCTTAGTCTCGGTTTTCCTGGGCTCCAAGCTTTTGTTCCTTTTGCCATTGAAACTCAGCCAATGAGCCAGTGAAGTCTCTTTTACTGCTCTTGTTACCGTGAGACTACTTTTTGTTTTTGGATTTAGCTTGGCGTTCTTCTCGTGTCCAGCTTCATCTGTTTTTTTTTTTTTTGTTTTAACGGTAGGTTTGTCCAGATTAACTTGATGTTTGGTCAAAGACCGATCATTTATGTCTGGATTATACTAGTATGGAGAAATAAATTTTTCATGGCTTGGCTTCAAAGTGTTGTCAAGATTTGAACTCAAGACGTCTAAATTTTTTTACATGTATATATTACCACTTGAGTTATCCTTTGATCTATTATTGCTTGAGTTTGTCCCTCATTTCTGTAATTATTTGTGAATGATTATATGAAATCTGAGTTTAGGATATAGTGACAAATGAAAGACACATGATGAAAACTTATTTGAAAAAATATGGGCCACATATGCTCCTTGGTTACTTCAAATAAGCAACAATAATTAAATTCCATCTAACATGATCATCAGTTTACTCCTCATTTTTTTTTTAAATAATAGGATTAAAATATG